GGATGCCTCTTTGGGGAGACGGAAGGATTCATGATTGCCATACAGAATCAGGTCATAAATACTAAAAACTACAGAAAACACATACTCAAAGATACAACACTCACAAATGACACATGCAGAAAATGTCACATTGTGCCAGAAACTATACAATACATCACTTATGGTTGCAAGCTCTTGGCACAGACAGATTACTTACATAGACACAATCAAGTAGCAAATATAATACACCAAGAGCTTGCAAAGAAACACAAATTGGCAGACATCCACGAACCATACTACAAGTATATTCCACAGACAGTATTGGAAAATAACACGCACAAAATGTATTACGACAGAGCCATAATCACAGATAAAACAATTTACCACAACAGACCAGACATCACACTCATTGACAAACACAATAAAATCACATACATTATAGACATAGCCATTCCAAACACTCACAATGTACAAAACACATGCACTGAAAAAATTAGCAAGTACACAGAACTCGCCCAGGAAATAAGGCATCTGTGGAGGATGGATAGGGTGCTTATTGTACCTGTCGTTCTCTCCTGTACAGGTGTGATACCACACACACTACACAAAAGCCTGGGAACATTACAATTGAGTAGAAATACATACATCACACTACAGAAGGCCACTATATTGAATACATGCCATATTGTTAGGAAATTCCTTAATACAGACACTGACTCTGACACACACATTTAATTTTAGTTTTGTTTTGGTTGCTATGCCTTGACTCTGGTCCGGCATAGTACACAGCCACCGGTGTGTACCGAGTATAACCCACTAAACCCAACACATAATAATAATAATAATAATAATAATAATAAAACTTTTACTAACTAAAATTGGAGAATTTCCATTTGACAAAATATCCAGAAGATCAACAAATGAAATAAAATAAAACCGAGGAAATATAAGACGTTTTGTTTCAAGATATTCAGCCAAAGCTTTTTCACAAAGAGTTAATTCAGTTTTCAATTTTTCCAAATTTTCATAAAGTCCTTTTTGACTTGTTACTGTGATAACATTTGCTGATTTCATTAATTCTTGTAATAAACATTTAAATTCTTGATCAAGTTCATCAAATCTAAAAATAAAGGAAATAGATTTTTGAATAATTTATAAATTATTTTTTTTGATACAAAAAATAATTAATTTAAAAATAAATTTGAATTAATTTTTTAATCACTGTATACAGTCAAATTTAGTAATAAATAATTATTAATGTTAATAAATTTCATATAATCCCAAATTAAAATTAATCATTATTTTATAAAAGTTATTCTTAGCTTAATTAGATGTTAAGTTTTTAATATAACTTGCAAATAAAATGGAGAGTTTTTCAAGTTACTAATGAATTATATTTGGCAATTATATATAACATCTAATGCAGACACACAAAACATATTAGCCCTTTCTCAGACACTGTCACATCCAATACATTCATATGCCGTGATTGCTTTTTTGGCTTTTACGTATGTCATGTTCATTGTAAAAAATGGTCTAGAAACGTTTATTTTAATGTTTCTGATGCATTTGCTGTCATTAAATGTATATTTCACTATTTCTCCAATAGATGGCATTATGTTACAAAACTTTTCCTACCATTACTTGCAAGAAAAACATAGTTTATTTCTGAAACGTGACAGTGTCTATGTAGTTTTTCTTTCAAACAAATAATCAAAATTATTACATTTATAAATATTATTAATAATCATTAAATAAATAATAAATAATTAAAAATAATGAAATAAATAATTAAAATTATTAATAAAATAATATAAATTATAAATACATAAAAGTATTTTACTTTTAGAAAATAAACACATGTAGTGGTTCTACTACTGTTGTCTTATTTTTGTCACTGCATATGATAAAATGAGTGAGATAAAGGTTATAACCAGGGCTGTGGAGTCATGTAAAAATCTACCGACTCCAACTCCGATTCTTCCTTAACATCCGACTCCGACTCCGACTAGGGGCAGACTTGTTACCGAAAGAGACCCAGAAATTCTGATGTCATCACATGACCTCAGAATAAAAGATTCAATAAATAGAGTTCTAATAAAGATAGAACATAGAAACATTTTATTCCAACACTAAAAGACTCCTCTAAGTAATATATAAATATGTATTCAATAATTTTTACTTTTCCGGCTGTTATATAGAAGAAAAGTGTAGCACTCGGTCGAAAAATGACCCTTTCCAAATTTTTACATTTTTGGACAAAATTTCGAGATATGCAAAAGATTTGAGTTTTTTTTCTATATGTGTTGATGTTAGACTGTGTGTGAGGGGCCTAATTTTGTTTACCCTGTTTGAAGCCTAATAATTTCTGTGGTCAGAGTGGTCAGAATCAGAGTCAGATGAAGCCACAGGAGTTAGTTATTAAGCGTCAAAGTGGTTGAACTAAATCATGTCCCCATATACATTCTAACATCTTAGGCGAGAACATCTTAACGAGTTTTACTGTACTATTATAAAATAACAAAAAAAGCTTACTTTGAAGGTAGAGAGAGTTTTATTTCTTGTTTTAATTTTGAACGTAAACAAGTAAAATATTCATTAAGAGATATGACACATGACCCCTTTTATGTCTTCATCCTGTTGACCTTTAATTAAGAACCAAAATTTAATAGTATTAATGCCCCTTTATACACAAGCCACAGTGCCACATTTTGTTTCTTAAACTTTACTCATTCTGAAATATTGTTTAATATCTCAGAACAGAAAATAAAGAAATTAAACAAATTAGACGTCAACACACACATGCATGGGAATTTTTCCCCTTTTATTGACTTTTTTGAGGGATTTGGGAGGTCTCCAAACATGTAGATTTGCAGAAAAAAACCTGGAGGGTCAAATTTGACATGATTCCAATACTTTTCCGTTTTATATACATTATAAGTTGGGAGGTAAAAAGGAGTCGGAGTCGGCGGATTTTTTGATGACTCCGACTCCGCCTAAAACACCAAAACTCCACGACTCCGACTCCCACTCCACAGCCCTGGTTATAACACAACAACTAAGTTTATTGTCTTCATTGTGAAGGCTACACATGGTGTTGTTGTGGCTAACTGACTATTAACTGGGTGTGTTCAGCATGTTCTAGAAAGTAATGACTCATACCATCTGAGGTTTGTTGCATGTTATCACAATGGTTAAGACGAGGGAGGTAGGGTTCATCACAGAGTATTCCCAGTGAGGGATGAGTGATACAATTGATGTGTAATAAGTTGCTTAATTAATGTTCTATTATGGTCATTAGTCTTTTAGGAAAATGAACATGAATGCCTGATCTTGTGATGGTCCGGAGTCATGTTTTCAGGTTATTTCCAGTTTTTTGTTGTGGCTGTTGCAGATGACAATGGTGTCTGTGATGGTCTTGACTGGATGAGTTTGATATTAGATTGCTGATGTAATTCATCTTGTAAGATATATGCTGGTTTTACTCAGTCAATAGAGACAATGGATTTGCAACCTTGGATGTCAATTACTATTGTTTTGTCATGTTTTTCTAGTAGTTTCTGTAGACTTGATTAAGGCTGGTGAAGAGGTGGTTGGGATGGTCAATTTATGTCGAATCTTAATAAAACATATGTACATTCTTTCAGCTCTAGATGAATGAAAATTTTATCTGTGGAATGAGTAGAGGTTGCTAGTGGTTTCAGATTAGCCACGTGGTGTTTCAGTTGACTGTTGAAAGATTCACAAAGAATTTGTGGGGTGTCAGGGCTGATGATATCAACTGGTAATTTTAACAAGGCTGCTGTTTTACTTCAACTGCTGTTGTGCCTCTATTAGCTTTAAATGCTGAACGAATACCTAGGAAAACTACCAGAAGAGCATCAGTCCATTTGGAGGATTTGTATGCTATTAGCAGTCTTCATATGTTTGTATAATCTTTTTATTAATCTATTTGATCGGGGATGATATGCTGCTGAATGAGTATGATTGGTGATGAGAAGTCTGTTTTCCAAGTAGGTGACATATGTTTCCCATTCTTTTTTCCTTCTAGCAGCTGGACTAGCAGGGTGAGGATGTGTGCCACTCAAAAAATACACCTGTAGAAATTCATTATGTCTAAAACCGTTTAAGTTGAGTAAGAGATGAGGGTTTGAAAAATTCTTGGATGACTGACTCTCAGAGAATGGTTCCAGACCCTTTCTTGAAACCTTAAATCTGAGTAATTCTATTAATGGTATGCTGAAAGTGCATTTTGATGGATTTATGATCAACCCATACTCTTGGAGGCATTAAATAAGATGCAAAGATGCAAGATGTGTTATTCCTGAAAGCCTGATGCTATTAGTATGTCATTGGCAAAAGCGTATACAAAGGGGAGTTCCTTTGATTACTTCATCTATAAACCATTAAAAAATTGTAGATGCATTGCACAATCTGAATTGCATCCTAGTCCTCTCAATAAGACTAAACAGTGTCATTATAGCTGTTTTGTGCATGTGTGATGGATAAATGGGTATTTGATGATAGGCTTTGGTTAAATCTGTGAGTAAGAAGATTCATGTTCCATACTATTCTGATGTTTGGAACACTGCATTTGTCCTTTATGATTTGTGCATTTAGGGTGTGATAATTGCCCATGGAATGCCAATCTGAACTATTTTTTCTTGATGTCCATGTGGTGTGGTGATGAGTAATTGCTTTTTGATGTTTGCATATGGCTGAGAGCTATCATGTCAAATTCAGCCTTGGCAATTTTAAGTCTATTAGGTACTAGGCAATGTGGTTTCACAGTTACGGATGGACTGACAGTTTCTACATGATGTACAACATTGTTTCACAGGTTGATGAAATTCTTCTAATATCTTGTGAAATATTGCCAGTTGTTACCTTAATGGAATGGATGAAGGTTTCTAATAATTTGCCTGGAGAGTTTACTTGTGTCTGAACATCTAAGAGTCACTTGCATCTGAGATTTGGTATCAGGTGAAAATGATACAAACTCAGCACCTATTACCGCCATTGACATGTTGCCAATAAGGAATTTCTCCAATGAAAAATTTTCTTTAGTCAAAAAATTGAGAGTGAGTGTTTATTGGTCATAGACATGAATTGCAGTTGTGTTTGTTGCCTCATTTGAGATGCACCCTTCTTTTCTGACAAAGAGGTTGGAAAAACTGATACATTGGAATATGTGTCAATGAGAAAGTTTACATTCATTCTCTTGTCTAGAATGAACAGGTGATGAGATTGTTCCAGCAAAGTGCATGTCACCACTATGTTTCACCACTTTCATTTGTTGAAAAGTTATACAGAGTACATTTTTGTGCCTTGTGCCAAAATGGTTGTGATACCAGCAGTACTTGTTGATACTGCTATGGGTTGAACTGTTATGGTGTCCTATATTACTGCAAGAGCATGGAGGAAAATTGATAAGTTCCACCTTTAGTCATTGCAATCTCAATGTGCATGCATGAGTTTGTCAATTTGCTTGCTGAGTTTGTCTATTTCGACTAGTAGAGTCCCAAAAACTCGGCCTAATGTGGACCGAAGAGTTGCAGAGTTTGTGAAAATACCGGGTTATCAGGAATAGGGTTAAAAAAAAAATAAGTACGAGTGTTTCCTCAGAAAATACTATACTGTATTTGTATGTATTGTTTGTTTGAGAATACAACAGAGAATAAACTGCCCAAATACCCTTAAACAAAGGAAAAGTACATACTTTATGAAGGCATAGAGCCTTTAATACATGAAAATGAAAATTAATGAATACACTGTGTACAGTAATTTACCTGATAAGACAGACCTCAGAAAAATACTTTATGAGGCATAAAGCTGTCTATAATGAAAATTAACTAGCTGACTTTGCAAAAACTGGCTACTTTTTTTTTTAAAGAAATGCATAATGTCCTGTTGTCTTCTGCAATGCACTCCGCGTTTTGCTGCTTCATCACAAAGATGATGAAGGAACAGTAAGTCCAACGCACCTTGTTGTTCAAAATACTGAAGGGCGGTTTCAACAGCCTTTAGTCCCTCACTATGTGATATTTTAGGAGCTTGTACAGTGGAGTCCTCAACGTCAACGTCTTCATCATTTTCTGGCATTTTTTCATTAACTGTGACAGCAGCAGTAATTTCTTCATCAGACATAATGTCTTGCTCGGTATCATTCTGATCATTATGCATCAGACATAATGTCTTGTTAGATGTCATTTTCATCGGCTTCTGCACATCCAGGAACTCTTTTCAGGAGGTTGAGTAAGTTTACATTTTCTGCATCATCATGTTAAATGAACTCATTTCCCTCATGATCAAGGAGTTTTCGCCAGGAACAAATTAGTGTTAATGACTCTAACTCATTCCAGGCATCCACCACCCAGCCAACAACATCCAATAGGTTAATTTTCTTTAGGTTCTGGATAAGACCTTGACCATCATCGTTTGCAGAAAGAAGGGAGGATAACAGCTTGCGCTGAGTTTTTAGGACTCTACTGTATTGGATTTCTCTGGTTGCGACACTGAAGCTATCATTGCTGGTTGCAATACTAAACTATCATCACTTCCACCAAATAGGCTGCTACTTCCACTGCTTTGTCCACATTGAGTGGAGTAATGGTAGCTAGGATAGACTGGATGGAAGTCGGAAAGTTCTGTGTGAATAATTCTAACATAACCGTGTCCTGAATTTTAAAATTTTCTGCCCAATGCTTTAAAATACAAAGTAATTTGGAGGGTTTATGATCTCCTAGTTGTTCTCCGGCTAATAGTTTTTTGTAACTCCTGTTGAGATGATTTGACAGATTGTTTGATAAGTCCACCTTTATGTGACTGTATGTACTAGTGATTGCATTACCGGTATACTGGTAAACTAAGAAAATTATATCCCGGTAAATTTATCAGTAATTAATTTTTTACCAGTATTTTGGTTAAAAATCCTCTTAATTAACCTGATATTTATTTTCCTAAAATTCCCATGGGAAATACTGTGGGAAGCAGATTTCTTTTTTATCTCTCCCATACCATAATGAGAAATCTGTGCAGGTGATGATGGGTCATTCAATTTGTAATTTAAGGTTATTAAAAGGAATTTTCTAGTTTTTTTATAACTTGATTTTCTGTATTATACTCCAAAATCAAGACCCATTTTTGGAGTATAATACAGGAAAGTAACCCAGAAAAATTGAACAAATATAAGTCACATGAAATATCCAATAATGCTAGCAAAAATATAATTTTGAATAGGATTATAGAAACAATGAAGCACTTATCAGAAAATGAAAATGAATCATGACTTGTGGATGTCTCTGAAATTAGTTCAGACTCAGATTCTAGTGAGAAGTGTTCATTCTTACCACACCAACTTCTCACATCAATGCGAGAACAAAGTACACAATAGAAATGTCAACAATGAAAACAATGAACAATTTTAACAATGAAAGAGAAATTGGACTTATTCATTAAACATAAAACGAGCATAGACACTGATAACAGTAATATAAGTAAGTTTAAAAGTGTGAAAGATATAGTTAAGAAAGAAATGAATTATTTCTTAGAGCAAAAAATACACGGAATGTATCTTAAAAAGGTTTTCAATGTTCTAATGACAGTACAGTAGAACCTCGATTATCCGCCCTAATTGGGGACTGGGGTTGGTCGGATAATTGAAAAGTCGGATAACCGAAAAGTATGAAAAAATCCATTATTAGTGTAGTATATTATTATATCCCATGTAATTAGTATATTAGGATATCGCTATTAACCTATTTTGCGTTGAATTTTCATCGATGTTAAGCCTAACAAAAATTTTTTAAAATAATAATCGTCGCTATTGTATCGTTAAAAATTAGAAAATTAAGCTTCGTTTAAATACTGGCTCCCTTTCATGGTCGAATGAGTGTTGCCAGCTAAAACACGTAAAAATAATATTAAAGTAGCCAAGACATAGCCAAATATTGTAGCGCCACATCACTAGCGGACATTTGAAATTTGCCGACTAGGACGGTCGGTTAACCGAGGGGTCGGTTGATCGGGGGCATATAATCGAGGTTCTACTGTACATCCAACTAGTGTTGATTTTGAGAGAGCATTTTCTAATGCAGCTGCCATTTGTACGAAAATTAGATCTAGATTAGATGACAAGAGCCTAAATGTATTGTTTTTTAAGAGCCTACTTTCAAAATATAGAAAAGTCGAACATTTGAAGTTTCTTTTGTTAAAAGTGGGTCATAATAATTGCTATTACAAGAATGTTGTTTGTCTAAACTGGTGTTTCTCAACCTCTAATGAATTGTTGCCCCCCTTCAATAAAACCGTTATGTAGTATCGCCCCCTTCATTACAAAATTCCGATGCCCAGCGCCAAGGCTAACGTCAAATTCGTACTGCATTGAATAGACTAGTGACTAGTATAATGTTATTTGTTTAATTATTGTACGATGTAACGAATAAAATATCTAATTATTCTTAATATAATGTTTTACTATATCACCCAGAAAATTGTTTTTCACCCCCCCCAAAATATAAATTGTTACTAATTGCCCCTTCAACATGGAAAAATGCCCACATGGGGGCGATATTGCCCCCATTGAGAAACACTGGTCTAAACTGATAGAAAACATGAAAATCATTGTCCAATAATTCTGTTAGTAATTCAGTTTCGTTTTAAATCATTTGTTAATACAAATTTACTGGTAAATTACCAATAAACTGGTAATCCCAAACATAATTACCAAATTACCGATAATGTAATACCCAGTAAATTTGCAATCACTAGTCAGTACAGTCTGGAGAGATAATGTCTCTAACATTGATGCAACTTACAATGGTAAATGAACCACTACATAATTGAACTATGTTGCACTTTCTGTAGTCATAGTTTGGGGATCCTAATGCAAATGTGCTTTTGCACATGTGGAACCAATACGAAAGTTTACACTCATGTTGGGTCAGAAAAGTTGTATGGAGGAATGTTTACTATACCAATCTCAGCCATAATCTGATGACTGAGGTCTTTTGAGAAAAGAGGAACGACATTCCTGATGAAGGTTCCCAAAAGATGGATTCCATTGTTCTTACTTGAATTACATTTCTAGTCAACAATAGTAGACCCACTACCAAATGTAGTGGGTCTACTATTGTTGTCTTATTTTTGTCACCATGCATGATAAAACAAATGAGACAAAAGTTATAACACAACTAAGTTTATTGTCTACACTGAAAAGACTATACATGTGGTCTGATCATCGTGGCTAACGACTAACAACTGGGTGTGTTTTGACCCATTCTAGGAAGTGATGATGCATACAACCCAAGATTAGTTGCTTGTTAGAACTGTTAAGATGAAAGTGTAGCATTTGTCACACATGTAAGAACTAATTTTCTGCATATTTCTTCATAAAAATTAATTATACAGGATGTGGCATAAAGAGTGGATAATCTGTTACCTACGGATAGGGGACATCATGACTGTTCAGAAAATTAAACATGGTGTTAAGTATATTATATTAAAATTATAAGTATATATATACTTATATAATTTTAAATAGTAATATTATTTAATATTAATTTGAATTTGAATATAATTTATTATCTATAACTGACTTCATTGTTAGTTACAACTTTGATTTCACATTACTAATAATAGAAATTTAACTTGATTCCAGAAGTTATATAAAATTTTAATATTTATATAATATTAAAACTTTATACTCTTAGATTTAATTGAATATTACATCTCCATAAAATCTATGTACATAGAAAAACATTTATATCTAAAAAAATAAAGCAGAAATTTTCCATCTAAAAATAAAATAGCGTCTAGAAATTTGAATTTCATAAGGAATAATTTATGTAAGTTACTAAAGAAAATTAATAATAAAAGATTTTCAAATTTCCACTAAATAACCTTGCAGTATCTTGAGGGAGTTGCATACGAATATCCTCTGTCCCAATAAATATACTTTGTAGATTACACCAAGTTCTTTGAACATCAAATAAAATATTAATAATTTGATCAGCATTTGATAATTTTTTTTGAAATTCTGCAATAGCTGATAAAAAGTATTCATTGTGTTTTGATGTTAACATGTTTTGTAATATCACCTGTAATTAAAAAAATATATATGTCATTGTTACAAACAATAATTAAAAACAATATGGTAATACAAATATTAGAAAAGAAACAAAAATTCAATTTTATCAAACTTTATAGTTTGACAATTAATCAATAAGATAGCAGACTCAAATATCATTACTAAATGACTCCTCTTGTTATGCTGTTGTTCATTTCATAACTATGCACATGCGATTTTTTTTCCCTACATTATACATCTAAGTAGATATGTGAAAAGCATTTGTTGATAAAGTATACATGACAAGGAGGAAAAAAGTAATTATAAACATTTTCATTTTATTAAACTAAACTAAAATTTATTAAAGTATACAAATTTTATTAATCATCTTAAAATTTTTAATTTTTTCTTATTTTTTTTGTTAACTAAATATTTATTTATAGTTTTATATAAATTATCATTTGAAATCCAGATTTTTGTAATATTATCTTACCTGATTTTCTTCTAATGTTTCAATAAGAATTTCTGATGGTTTTATTAATGTACAACCTGTTTTTGGATGGATCTCATATTCAAACACTGTTTTCTGCCATGTATTATTTAATTCTTTTAAAGTTTTTTCCATTGCCATTTCTTTAACTGCTTTATCAACAATTTGATGAACCTCTTCTTCATATTTGTGAAGATTTAACTCTAACAAATCAGCTAATGTGGTTGATGAAGTCATTACAAATTTTACCTAACGATAAACATGAAAATGAAAATTAATGTCATATCAAGAATTAAAATATAAATTATTAGTAATTTAGAAAATTACTGCACTATCAAAAAATATGAGGAAATATATAACAGTAATAATATATATAATATATTAATGTTAAAATATATAATATAGATAATAGTAAAAATATCAACAAAAAAAAACTAACTTTTGTTGCTGTCATCAATTGAAACCAATGACGTTCTCTAATAGCTGGATTTTGAAGTTCTCCTACTGCTCTCAGAGAAATCATCATATTTTTTATTTTAGCTTCTAAATCCTTATATACATCCCATCCTTTTATTTCTTTATCCATAAAGCGAATTTCTTTGTTAAATTTTTTGCATTCCAAATCCATATCCTCCACAACAACTTTCAGCCATGGTGTTTTTTTCCAAGTTTGAAATATATCATTTAATTCTAATGTATATTTCCAGACATTTCTTAGCAAGTTCAATTCTTTCTGACATAAAGATAGTTGCTTAAACTCTGGTGGGCTGATTTCAAGTAAAGCAGCATGACTATTTAATTGTTCCATTTCAGTTTTTAATTGTATTATATCTTTATCAAGTTCATCACATATCTCTAAAGGAATTTCACATGTAGCCAAAAATACTGAAGATTGTAAAAACTTTTCTCTATATTCAATTTGTTTTGTTTCAAACTTGGCATATTTATGTCGAACATTTGAAGTTTCTTTTGTTAAAAGTGGTTGAAGATATTGTTTAACAAGATTTGATTTTTTCTTAATCTTTGTCCATTGTTCTGGAAGATCCTGTCAAATAAAATACTTTATAAAATTTTATATTTTTATATTCATCATGTCATAAATTTATTTTTTATATACAAGTATATAATTAGTAAAAAGTATATTCATATTATAATATATTTGCTAACCTGTAGTTTAGTAAGTGTATCTTCTGATATTTGTAGTTTATAATTTTGAAGTAATTCCACAGATTTTTGTAATGGTTGAAACATTTCATCAGTTATTTCTTGACGATCTTTCACTGCCTTTAGATATCCTAACACACTGACTAGAGTAGTATAATCACCTTCTTCTATGTGTTGTGACAATCCTATTTCAGAATCTTTCAAAAAATTTTCCAAGTCATTTAAACTTGATGTTAAATTGTTAGCTAAATGAGTCTTAAACATTAGACCCCATTTTCTAATAACATTTAATAATCCATATTTGAAACGATGCATATCAACACGTAACCATCCTTTTAGAATAACATAATTATCAAGAGCTTCAACTTCCTTCCAAAGATCTTCATAATTTTCAATCTGCAAAAGAATAAATTTCTTAGACTTCATCTTAAAATTTAATTAAATATTATTTAAATAATTTTAATATAAAATAATCAAAGATGTAACTAATGCCAATCCAATACCAATTTATCAACATATTGGAATGTTCGTGTTATATCAATACCAGTTCATTTTACAAACTGATATGCTAATCTTTTTTCAATATACACCTTTAGATTGTTTTTCCAAGACAGGCATTCCAACATATGGAACTTGGGGATAAAATTCTTTACAAACTGTGAATTTCAAGAAAAAAATGACAGATTTCCCTTTCCCAAGTTTGTGAGGTTACACTGTGCATCCCTTTTTCTATGTTGTCATCTGTTCATCTGTCCTCAGACTAACCATTGCCCATCCTGTTGCTGGACTTGATAACAACAATGTCCCGGGGCCATCAACACATTGAAAGACTTTGCTGAAAATGAACTGAACTCTTTAGATCATAGTTTAAGTGGAGCATCCTTGTATGGAATTGTAAGCTACCAGTTTATTTCTAAATAAACAGGTTTCATTTGTAAAGATACTTCACTTCAATATGTCTACCATCACACACATATTATCCCATATCTCTCATTTAGCTTGAATTGAGTCAAACTGACATGCTCCCTTCCCTTCAGTTGGCAAATCTCACAATTAAATCCATCAATTCAAAATGGACCAAAGACTATATTTTATCAATATTCATTTTATGAGTGAAATTGGGTCTAATTTATCTCTTTGATACAACTTTTACTTCTAACTTTATATGTCGAATGGATGATCTTTTTGATTCTTTTAATTCTAAAACTTTGATACATACTGGCAAAAATGGTTTCTGCTATTATCAAGGTATAGGGAGAAAAATCAAAATGGATAAAGTTGTGGCACTATGAGATTCCAGATAAACCTGTTGATATAAGGAATAAGATCTACACAAAATTATGCTGAGTAATCATCATTTCTTTGCATGATGATTACTCAGCATAATTTGATTAAAATTTAAAAATTATTTTTATTGCAATGAAATTATGTATATTTGAATTTTGCAAATGATCAACTTGTAAATACAGTGGGTGATCAGTTAATGAACATAATCCATTCAAAGACTTTGTTCACTATCCGAATTATTCGTTAATCTATAATCGATTTACCATAGGTTTTTATGGGAATTTGATTAATTCGTTCTGAAAATCCCAAAAAATAAAAAAATATATACTTTCTTACTATGTTTATTTATATGTAATAATAAAAATAAATATATACACAGTCTTGCATTTTTATTAGTCGTGTTTTTTTCCGTTTGTGGGAGTTAAAGAATCTGTCTAATGTCGATTTCTTTTCTCTCTTCTTCAAGATTTTTCAGAAGTAATTAATAGCATTGTAATTGTAGAGATCCTATTAACCTCAACCTGGTTTGGGTGCCATTCTAAGACCATTGTTCTGACATCCTCCCACTTCTTCAAAAGATGTTTAATAGCAGATATTGACATTAATCCTCTTTTTCAGAAGAAAACATCTCACTGAGTTTCTTGCTGTTCTTCACTCAAGAGTTCTTGGCATTCTTCTGTTGTCAGATCAGTTTCAGGTTCAATTATGAGCTCTTCAATGTTCTTTATTTCTCAAATGTGATTTTTGTTACTCCTTTAGCTGCTTGAGTCTTCTTGATTATATAGTATTTTTCTTAAAAAAATGAACTGCGGCTTACTGTAGACCTGTTCACGCCATAGTACCCAGCAACATTAGGTATCTTCTGCCCACTCTTTACCTTTGCTATTATATTCTATTATACTCTCACCTTTTGAAAATAAAAACTGATACAAAACTTAACGAGTGCCCGCCTGACAGTCTCGTGAATACTATAAAAGAATTGTTTTTGTCAGAAAAATAAAAGGCTGGAATTACATGGGAGAGTTTCAAAGTTCGGAGGAATACTATCCGATCAGTATATACCAGGTTGAGCATTGATGTCGACGTCTCCTGCACTCCGAAAAGTTCCGAATTGTTGTCTGAAGACAAGGGAAGACCAATTGGTATTCATTATTTTATGTCGTTTTGTGACCATAGGGTCGGCACCTCTTTGGCGCCCTGTCAGGATGACACCACCAAGTCTCTAGGGGACTCGGAAATCGCGACGTTAAGCCTAAAGATTCGCGAGCGGTAGCGGGTGAGCGATTGGATTCGGAGTAGAGGTGAGGAGAGAGACGAGAAAGTAACTTACTCAGACTCCATAGTAACAAATAAATAACAATTTTAATTAAATCGAACTAAATACTATACAGAGATATCGGGCATATTATCGTTCTTAATTATACTAAGCCGTTGAGAGAGAGAGAGTTTACAAACGAATCGCGGGTTGATAAATACCTTGTCGATGGACAGTTCTTTACACTAGATCCGAATCTTGTCCATTCACTGGTGTGGAGGCACGGAGGAGTGTAGAGGCTTAATCCAGCACAAATTTTTCTCTCGGGTTTAATCCTGGGTCACGATTTTAATCCTGGAGGACGACTTTGTTGGGCGGACTTTGGATGACAACTGACCGCGGGGTCTTTTTTTCTTTTCTCTTCTTCATTCCTCTTGGGTTTTTTCCATGAGGTCATGTGATGGCCTTTAACGGTCGCACGTCCAATATGTCTTCTCCATCAAAAGTTCCTGGTGACACATCCCTGATTAACTTGATCCGACTCAACAAGGAACAAACTCCGTGGGAAATAATTTTTATGGCTTTTAGCCTAACTCGATAAAACGCTCAAATTTAATCGATTAAAGTTTCCAATAATTAAAATTTAAAATAACAATTTATTGTTGGTCTGTTCGTCCCTCACAGTTTCTTCTTGTGTTTGTTTTATGAGGTGCTCGTTATCCAAAGATGTGTTCTTCGTTGTCCAAACATAAAAATCTTTCACGAAAGTGTTTGTTATCCTATTTGTTCATTACCAGTCACCCACTGTATTAAGTTTATATATATATATATATATAAATTATGTTAATATATACAGTTCTGATCTATGCATACAAATTCTGTTTGAATTGTACAAAAATCATTACAAAACAGTGTTTTTTTTAAATGATCAACTTATTTTAATCAAAAATATTTTAAAATTCACCACTTAATATTAAAAGTGTAAATATGAAAATTGTGACTTGACTATTTATGAGTACTTTGTAACAAAATTATACTCAGCTTAACTTAAATGATATATTAGCCAAAAATTATTGAAACATTGTGTCCCACATATGCAACATTGAGGGAATGTATCTAATGTAATGTAAAACTAAATGATTTGTGTATAAATATAACAGATGGTATAAAGAAATTTAATAATGTTTAAGCTAAATCAGATTACTAAAAATTTGAAGTGCACACTTATCTGACAACTGCTACTTAACAACTGGTTATTATTACATAAAAATGCACTCTACAAATACTTAAGATACCAGCAAGAAAATTAAACACAAAGTGCAAATGTTTTTGTCTGTGTTAAATGGGCATTGTCAGGCAAGCAAACTGCTACAAAAAACACCAGGGATTCCCAAACATGTGTGAAGGGGTTACATAATTAATATGTGTGCCATAAGGAGAGGGGAGGGGTTTACAGTTCATAGAACAACTTCCATGCAGAGGGGAAGGAGTCAACGTCTCAAAAATTTATAGCTGCATTATGGTAGGTAGCCTTGTAAATTTCCACCTGTTCTAGATGTTTCAACATATGTGGTTTGGATTCATAACATAGGAAGTGTGTCTCTTAGAAGTCCACTTCTGAGAGACACACCTCCTACACTATGATTCATGTTAAGTTTCAAATCATACATTCTTTCAAATAATGATAAGTTTTAAAAATTTTAAATGCAGTTTTTTAAAATATATTGTTCAGGCATCCCTTGCTTAATGCAGGATTTGATTAATACAGTAGAGCGTCAATTTTCCGAAAGTCAATCATCCGAAAGAATTTCAGTCGGCAAATTTAAATTTTCACCAGTGCTGTGGCGCTTCAATCTTTGGCTATGTCTTGGGCTACTCAAATATTTCACGTTTTTGATACTAAATTAACATCTGAAGTATAATTTTTTATTGTTTTCATATTTTTCAATATATTTATTTTGTTCGTACTTTTTAACGATACAATAGTCTTTGTTAGGCTTAACATCAACGAAAATTCAACGCGAAGCGACACGCAACGGATAAAAATTTTAACATCGGATACGTTAAACTATTTTTTCGTACATAAATCAGTTATCCGAAATATCAGTTATACGAACAACCCCAGTCCCCAATTGATTCGGAAAATTGACGCTCTACTGTATATGAAATTAATTGTGGCAATCCTTTTATATATGCAGTAGACATTTTAATTAATGTGACTTTAACAGCTGTCTTTACTTAATGTAGACATCTTTTTCTCAGCAAATAAAGTATTGATGAATTTGCTATTTTCATGCTGAGGGTAATTTCTGGTAAAGATATATAGTTTAATTACTATAGTTGTAAAATTTAACATGTTACGGCTAATGTGATATTATATTCTTTGTTTAGTTTAGAAGTATTTATTTTAAAACTTTACTTCACATTTTGCATAAACAAAATGTGAAGTATCTACTCAAAATTTGTGCATATAAAATGCATATCAGACATATAATGCTTTTTAAGTTTCATAAAGGATATAATGCTAAAAAATACTCATAGTGTGTATGGAGATGCTAGACATTGGACATGTCAAATGTGGTTTTGAAAGTTTCATTAGGAAAATTTTGAACTTAAGGATATAAAACATATAGGGTGTCCAAAAGCCATTGACAAAAAGAAATTTTCTGGAAGAATTTGTTAAAAATCAACGAATAAACTTGTAACTTGTAACAAATCTTAGTTGTGTCACCAACATGCTGATTCTGTTCCATATGCATTAAGTAATAAAACAAACTAGATCAAGTATAATTTTGTCTGACAAAGGTAGGCAGCTCTATGGTTTCATTTTATTTTTAAATTTGTTAATCATTTT